GCGGCGCCCAGGCGCGGCGCGCCGCAGGGCAGACGCCGCGACAGAGCGGCGCGCGAGCGTGCCGGAGGCGGATGGGCGGCCCCCTGGCGGGCCAGCATCAAGGGGGCGGAGATCGAGACGGAGCTGGAATTGACGCCGGCGGCGGCGATGATCACCCGGGCCAAGAACGCGCGGGTCAGCGAGTCCAGTCGCGTTCTCGCCGGCGCAGCCTGTCCTTGGCAGGTCCCAGCAACTGCCGCGGAGCTTGCTCGGCGATCTCGGCCGACCCCAGCTCGCCGCCCGCGCGCGGCGCAGCGGAGAGCGACTCCAATATAACGAAGCGCCCGCAGGTCTACAGCGCGGCCCGGGCGGCCCGAAGGAAGATCGGCGCCGGCGCGCGCGGGGCCACGAGCGCTCGCGGTCGCCAGGCGCCGCCAAGTCGCGGCGCGAAGCTCGGTGGCGCGGTCTAGTTTTATTGCGAAGGTGATAGAAATAAGATCCGTCGCAAGGGCCCGTCGCCGTCGTTCAAGGCGCGGAGCGGACCCGCCGTCGTCGCCGTCGTCGGCGTCGCGCCAGCGGCCGCCCAGGCGCCCTGCAAGGTCCTCTCGACGAAGCGCGAAACAGCCGCGGCACGACGCCCCTCGCCGGCGAGGCTCGGCGACGCGGAGAGCGACGAGCAGTCGAACGCGGGCGATGCCACCCGGGCCCAAGAGGAAGTCGCAGAAGCGCAGGTCGAGGAGCACCCAGTTCCGGAGAGCGGCTGCAGCAGTTGAGGAACGCGAGGACGACGAGACACAGCGACCCCCCCCTGGCGAGGCCACTGCGGCGGGCACGACTACTGCGATGGAAGACCCTGGAAACGACACTGCTACCGACAGAATCTCGCCGGAGGGGCTCTCGCGATTCTCGCGGAAGACCAGCCCCCAGCCGAGTGGGCGCTCGGAGTTAGGCAAGGTGGTGGCGCAGCGCATTCGAGCTCAAAGCGGCGACCCCGGCAAATCGACGGCGCCGCAAGTTGTCGAGGCCATCCAGAAGGGGGCCCAGCACTTCGAGGGTGCGAGCAAGGCGCGCGAACGACCCCCTCGACGAGGATGGACGCGACCGCCGTCGTCGAGCGCTGCAACGGAGGAGCCAGATGTTCAACGACCGCCTGCGGACGCACCTGCGCCTGCCTCGGCAACGGATGGATAGTTCGGCCCCCGCGGAAACTGCCCGCCCAGGGCGCCCCCGCCCGATGAAGCTCAAGAGACCGAGGCAACAGATGAGGCAGCGCCCGCGCAGACCCCCACCGAGGAGCAGCAGGGGGATCAGCGGCGCGGCCAGAAGCGCGACGCTGAGCGAGCTGAGTTACCAAAGGTCTCGTCACAAAGTGGAGGGGGTTGATCTCGGGAACCTAGGCGCCCGGGCGATGCGCCGTGGATCAAGAGCGCGACGAAGAACGAAGAGGACAGCGGACTGGCTCAACGAAGCGCCTGAGGTCGATGGGAGAAGGCTCCTGGACCACATGGCGCTGGTGACTCGACCAGATCCAAAAAAACGAAGCAATGCCAGAGCCAAACCAGGCTCGGAAGGGAAGGTCCGGAGTCGGATGGATCCGCCGGCCGAGGCAAACTACGAGTGGGCAGCGGCGTCGCAATGCAGCACGCGCGTCGACGCCGAGTCCGCGGAGGCGCTGCTGGAGAAGGAGTCGCTGGAGCTCGGGGGGCCGATGAAGCGCGAAGGCAAGGGCGACCGCATCCTCTGCGCGCGGTGGGCACTGACCGACAAGAACGATCCGCTGCGGACGGAGGCCAACGACCTCCCCCCGAGGGCGAACGCGAGAATCGCGGTCAACAGCGGCGTCCCTGGGCGCTCCGATGAGAAAGTCAACAGGCGCGCAGACGTCCCCTGCGCGACGACCCAATCGGAGATGATCCTGACGCAAATGACAGCTTCTCATCCGGAGTGGGCGTTCGGCTTCAGAGATGCAAGTGGCGCGGTCCTGAAGGGCGAACGTGGCCTGGTGATTCGTGCACCTAATCATGGACTGTCGCTTTCTGACATTTCTCGAGGTCGCCTGGCACCAGTTCGGAAAGGTCTGTTCGGGCTCCCGGCCGCGCCTAGGTTGCAGCATCTGGTGGCGGTGGCGGTTGAGCGCAAGCTGGAACTGAAAGATTCACGAGGCGACCCCCCCTTTCTGGTTCTGCACGACCCGAAGGTGAAGAAGAGAGGCCCCAACAGCCTGTGGGGACGCGTTTGCATTCTGGTGGGCGACGCCGGACCGGCAACAAGAAAATGGCGAAAGTGACGGACGCGCCGGGCATGGAGTTCGCCTTCAGGAGTGAGGAATACCACGATTGCGTGTTCTGCGGCCGAAGCCAGCCCGGGGGAGCCATCAACATCGACATGATGGAATACTCAGCAGGACTGCAGCCTGTGACTGTGCCCAATTCCCGGGGAGCAGACGCACACCTGCCCATGAACGCGCTAGATCGGGAGCAGTACCAACAGGTGGCTGGAAAGACCAACTGGCTCGCGGCGAAACTACGCGTAGACCACCGGCGAAGTTGGAGGCGCGAGAAAGGCAGGAAAAAGGCTCAGAGGGTTTCGGCTTTGATCAAGACGAACCAGGCGCTGAGGGAACTGAGGCGCGGTTCGAGCTTCAAATTCACGATGCGTCCGATCGACCTGGAATGCGTCGGGCTCGGCAACGCGATGGGCAACTGCACACCTCTACAGCCCGACCCGGCCACTGAGAAGATCGGCACGAAAGGCGGCTACCTGATCTTGTTCGTGGATCAGGAAGTTTTGGGCATGTTCTCTCTACTGGAGGGGGAGAGCCACAAGCTGAAGCGTGGGGCCAGGAGTTCCTACGCGGCTGAAAAGATCGCCGTAGGTGATGCAGTGGACGTGGCACAAGGCGTGAAGACTGGATCGCCGAGATGTTGTATGGCCCAGTGGAGAAAGGTGCTGGAATAAAACTGTCAGAAGGCAAAGTCTTTGTAAAGGTGGTGTCGGATTCCGAGGACGGACATGACAGGCTCGACTCAGACGCTGGCGTCGAAAGCTGTGCCCAAAAGTCAGTGAATTCGGGGCTTGCGAATATCAGCGATATCTTGACCACCCACAAAGAACTGCTCGCTGAAAGGATGGACACAAGATGCTGAGTGATGTACAGACCAAGAATATGCCCGCATATCAGCCGCGGGAAGCATTGGAGCGTGGAACATGGAGTATTGAGTTACGCACTGAATTGGTGAAGACAGCCAGGCGGGCGGCACGTGAACGCTGGGAACCGCGGGCGTGTACGCCTGGAGCTATTCAGTCATGGTATGATGTTATTGACTTACCCTCTCCCCCCTCTCATCACACGCTGCGCCGAGGCGGTTGCATTTGTTGTACGCACGCGCTCAATCGAGTCAGTTTCCTTTGTTCCATGCCCGGATTACGACTATCCCGCGCGGGCCGCCGAGCCCGGAGACAGAGTTTGCGGCGAGAGATTTCAGTGACAGCATGGTGCAAGAGAATTCCCAGAGGCAGAGTTTGCTGCGAGAGATGATGGGACATGAATTCTGGACAGCGTTGGCTGTGAGGGAATGTCCGACATAGGCTTAGATGTCACGCTCGCGGATCGCGACCGCGATGCTTCCTCTTCTGTCAGGGAACTGTTTCTGCTGAAGTTGTGGCGGGGACACATTCACAGAGCTGAAGAATCCGTGTCGTAAGAATGCGGCTCTCACCAGTTCTTCCCTGCTCCCCCCGCTACATACTTGCAATCCCTACTTCCCCCCTTGCTTTCTCTTTCTCTACCCCTCTTGCAGGCCTGCTGCCGCCGGCTTGGATCAAGTCGGAGGAGGAGGAGGAGGAGGAGGAGGAGGAGGAGGAGGAGTTGGAGGAGGAGTTGGAGGAGGAGTTGGAGGAGGAGGAGGAGGAGGAGGCGGAGGAGGCTTGAGACATTCTGGCCACCGGCAGTGGAGGCCAGAAAAGCAAAAGGCGCCTTCGTCTCGACCCCCTGTCGGGGTCCGCCGCCAGCCCCCGACGTCGAGCTGGGGGTGTAGGGCCCCAGAGGCTCCCCGGTCCCGCGCCCTCTCTCGGGATCCGCTCCTCACCCCGAAATCAAATTCTGACGACCCAGGGGCCGAATGCAGCGAAAAACCTCTCCCTCAGGACGCCTTTCCCTGCATGCTGAGAGGAGGAGGGAGCAACAGCAGCAGCAGCAGCAGCATCCAGGGACGCGTTGGCCCTGGTCAGTGCAGCCACGTCGCGAGCCCGGACATGGTCGACGGAGGGAGGGGCCACGGGCTGGGCTTCACACGGCCCCCCGGGCCAGACAGTGCGAGGGGGACGATGGGTGGGACTGGCTCAGGGGGGGAACATGGACCTGGAATCGGCGATACATCGCCGATAGATCGGCGATACGCCCCCGATTGCAACACCTAGGGCTCCCAACTTCGCGCTTCGCGCTGCGCGAAGCGCGAAGCGCGAATAACTTCGCGCTCTCGCGCCGCCCCCCCAAAGGGAGAAAAGGAGGACGAGGAGGAGGGGGGAGAAAGAACGAGGACCGCGAAGCGCGAAGCGCGAATAACTTCGCGCCCTCGTGGGAGCCCTTGGAACATGGACCTGGAATCGGCGATACATCGCCGATAGATCGGCGATGCGCCCCCGATTGCAACACGGCGCGTTCCTGAGCGTGGTGGGCAAACAGCAAATCCCGATCGGCGATGCATTAAGCGACTGGGGGCCGATGCATTTTCCCCCCGGACCTCCTGCCCCCCTGGCGGTGTTGCCCCTTGCACAGAGGTGACTACCTACCAGACCACCCCAACCCAACCCGAAGACCCGATTTTCGGGTTGGGGGGGGTAAGGGTTCCACGCGTGTTTTTTCGAGGTTTCCCGACCCCCCCCCCACTAGAAATCGAGGGTAAATCTGAACCTTCGGGTTGGGTTGGGGTGGTTTGGTGGGTGGTGAAGAGGGTGATTCGATGGCACTGGCTGACCCCCGTCGGCGCTGATACCCGTCGGCGCTCGCCCCCAAGCAGTTCCTGGAGAGCCCGCCAGCGGCTTTGGGCGCCCCGCCCGTCGACTCGGCCCCCACCCGGGGCCGCGGCGCCGGCGGGGCCGCGGCGGGTGCGGCGTCCGCGCCGCCGCCGCAGACGGGGGCCTCCGCGCGAACCAACGGCGCCGACGGAGGCGGCGGCAACACGAGAAACAGTACGGCGACGAGGAGAAGACATCAGCGACAACGACGGCGACGACGAAAATGGCGACGGCAGCGGAGGCGAAGGCAGCGGCGGTGGCGGGTGGGCGCGACAGACGACGACGACGACGACGACGACGACGACGACGACGACGATCACGACGACGACGACACCGACGACGACGCCGACGCCGACGCCGACGCCGACGCCGACGCCGACGCCGATGCCGACGCCGACGCCGACGCCGACGCCGACGATGACGATGAAGACGACGACGGTGGCGGCGGCGGCCGCGGCGGCAGGGGCGGCTGGCGACGGCGGCCAGCCTCCTTCGAGGACTTGGCGCGGGCCGACGGTTGATCGCCCCGCTGCCCCAGCCACGCCTTGAAGGCTGCGATTTCCTCGCCGCGGCCGGCTTCCTCTTCGTCTTACTCCTCCTCCTCCTCCTCCTCCTCCTCCTCCTCCTCCTCTCCCTCCTCCTCCTCCTATTCCTCCTCCTCCTCCACCTCCTCCTCCTTTTTCTCATCGTCCTCGTCCTCCTCCTCTTCCTTCTCTTCCTCGTCCTCCTCCTCCTCCTCCTCTTCGTCCTTGCCTTCATCCTCCTCCTCCTCCTCATCCTCCTCCTCCTCCCTGCCTCCTCCTCCTTGTCCTCCTCCTCCTCCTCCGCCTCCTCCTCCTCCTCGTTATGCTCCTCCTCCTCCTTCTCCTCCTCGTGATCCTCATCATCCTCGTCCTCCCTTCTCCTCCTCATCCTCCGCCTCCATTTCCTGAGCCTCCTCCTCCCCCTTCCTCCCTTCTCCTTTTCCAACTCGTCATCGTCTTGCCCCCCCCCCCCGGCCTGTGTCCTCTCAGCCGCCCTCTTTCCAGGGGTCACCCCTCCCTTTCCGCCGCTCCATGAACCCCTCTTCGCCATCCGCCTCCCTATCGTCCTCCTCGTCCTCCTCGTCCTCGTCCTGCTCCTCGTGCTCCTCCACGTCGTCGCCATGACCATCATCATCATCATCATCATCATCATCATCATCGTCATCATCATCATCATCATCATCATCATCATCATCATCATCGTCATCGTCATCATCATCATCATCATCAGCATCATCATCATCACCACCATCAGCATCTTCATCAAAATCATCACTACCACCATCCCCCTCGTCCCCATCAGCATCGTCATCATCAGCATCCACATCATCGCTATCCCCACCACCACCACCATCATCGCCACCATCATCATCAGCATCGCCACCAACCAGTCAAGAACTCCATGCGAGGCGGTGCCTGCACAAACACAAATAACACGGTCTTGGACGCCCGAATTATCCGGGGTAACTCGGGTCCGGGGTAACTCGGGTTTGGGTTCCCGAAAAACGAACCCGAGTTAGCCCTGACCCGAGTTACCCCTGATGATTCGGGGCCCTGGACGCCCGAAATACCCGGGGTAACTCGGGTCCGGGATAACTCGGGTTCGGAATCCCGAAAAACGAACCCGAGTTAGTCCTGACCCGAGTTACCCCTGATGATTCGGGGCTCTGAAGGTCGGCTTCAAATGTAGCGCTCGATGCCTGGACACTCGGGTCCAGGCCCGCGCTGCCTCCATGAAGGGCGGCCCACCCCCGCCGGCGCGCAGTCAGGTGGGTGCCCCGCTTAGGATGGCCAATTCCTGGCAGTCCTCCTCACGGACTGGACGTCGGGCCCCGCAAGCGTCCGAAGCACAGCCACCGAAGCCGGCCTCCAGCGAAGCGTTCATAGCTCATCCTACCCCTGGCCAACTGTTTTTCCCTTGGCCCTTGCCCGCCCGACCACGCCCACTTCCACGCCCCCCCCCCTTCCCCTTATAGCCTGAATTAACCATCTGGAGCCTAGCCACCAGGATTTGCGGGAGGAGGGGAGAGAGGTAAGTCTGAAACGCGGTATGTTCCTCAAGCGCGCTGGCAGGGACTACCCCTGTCAAACAATTCACGAGGGCGCGTGCTCTCTCGAAGGTCTCCTCTCACACCCCCTTCCCCGCGGCCGCGGCAAGGCACCTGGACGTTCCTCCTTGTAACGGGCCCCGAGGTGCTGCCTCGTGAGCTCTTTGTCGCCCTCCCTGTCCTGCGCGAGCGTCCAAAGTGCGTGGCTGATCACCGTTCCCGAACCTCGCTTGCTGAAGGCCACAGCCAACACTGCGTACTTGCCTTTTCCTATGAGACCTTGCTCTCGCGGTAATGGACCTGGACGCAAGTATTGTCGATCTGCTTCGGCGAGCGCTGCATAACCTGCTTTCTCCAGTAGTGCACCATCAGCTAGCAGACCGTCTCGTTCGGCGTTTTGCCCGTCATTGCGGACTGGCGAACCACCCAGTGCACTGCCTTGATGAAGAGCCTGTTGTGTCTTTCCGGTCAGGCTCTCTTTCGGAAGAGATGCTCAAGCATGCTGGCCTATAGCAGGGCGCGCGGCGGAGCTTCGGGCTCGAATCCCCCCCCTGCGAAATTCATCATTTCATTGTCGGCCCCTCTCTCGCTTCTTGCTCCTCACCCTTTTCCCTTCCTCCTTCTCTCTCTCTCTCTCTCGCCCACCCTCCCTCCACCCTTGCCTCCCTCCCTGTCTTCCCCCCCACACTCTCTATCTCTCTCTCTCTCTCTCTTTCTCTCTCCCTCTCTTTTTCTTCTCTCTCTCTCTCTTACTCTTCTCTGTCCTCCCGTGGACGGCCCCTCCGCCAGGGCGGTGGCGATGGTAGTCATGGTGTTGGTGTGGGTGGTTGGGGCGGGCCACACAAAGCATACTAAACAAATCAACAGAAGTTGAATTGTTCCCTGCCCCCGTCCCGCCCCGACAACCAGTCGACCACCACCGGCAGCGTTGGCCGCAAGGGAGCGGTGCCGAACCTGCACGGTGCTGCGCCGTTCTGGAGTACTCTGGAAC